ATATATACATACACATACATGTCTATGGTCTGAAGCATTTTATTTTCGTTAACTTTGTACTTGATCCTGTACAGTCCCAATCATGTGAGTAATATTAAAGCTGACAATCGTGTGTCGTGTACAGTTTTTCGTGTACAATCTTACTTTGAAAAACCGCAAAAGAGCAAGTTTGCGAAAGTCGAACCACGAAGTAGCTTCTTAAAAAAATTATTTGCTTGTTAATATGGCAAAAATATTCCATCTTCCTTGTAAGAGGACCAACCAGTTAGATCTGCTTCAAAGTATTTCAGCAACAGAGTTTCTAGATTATAGCTTGTCATCTCTTCTCTGGTATGTGTAGGTGTGTTTTGACTGTCCTGGAAATATTCCAGGAGAAAATATCTTGGCCTGTGTGTGAAAATGCTCCGAGGTGTTGATCTGGGATTGTGAACTGTAATTTAACACTATTTGAAACAGTCTGCTCATCAAAGTTTTAATTTCTCACATTGCACCTGACCTTCAAACCAAATCAGTCAAAGCATAATTTTTATTTTAGTAAATTAATATTTCACATACAGTAAATTACAATATGGTAATTTGTGGTTCTGGCTTTACTTTGCAGTTGGAGAAGACCCCGCCAAGTCTCTTACTGAGACGCCCCCCGAGTTCAACCAGTCCTCTCCACCTTCCAGAGCCACACCCACTTCTTCTCTGTCCAATGACAACAAGTTCCACTCGCTGCCATTCAGCCTGAACCGTAAGACGGTGCCCAATGAGAACATTAGCCAAGGGCCCATCTCCCTCTCCGTCCAGTCTGTGATGGGAGAGCAGCCCGACCCTCCAACGCCTGTTGCTCCCCCCTCTCCGCGACCTCAGACTCCTCCTCGTGGACAGCCCGGTCTGGAGGTGGGCTCACTGGTGGAGGTGAAGGAAAATCCCCCCTTGTGTGGTGTAATCCGCTGGGTGGGTCTTCCTCCTGGCCTGCTGGAACCTTTAGCTGGCCTGGAGCTGGTGAGACAAACATAAATACAATGTGTAATAAATACATTGGATAGAAGGGGAAAAGAAAGACACACCATATAGTGTGAAGTTGTAGGGACATATAAACTCATTAATAATATAGCTTTTTGTGATTATTCATGGATTATTTATTTAATCATTTTCAATCATTTATTTATTAATTTTCAAGTTTTTGAGCTGCACAGAGTATGATTTTGTTACTCGCATGGAAATCCTTTTTCACAAGTTAAAACACTTGTGACAGTTCGGTGTTATGGTCTTAGCTCTGAGATGCCAGCAGGAGGTTGGCTTGAAACGCAGCAATGAAGGCTACTTATGGGACAGAAGTGGTTGGCAGGCCGCAGACTGATGAAGTCTTCCGTATGGGGGACGAAACATTTCTCACTTAAAGAAACTGGTCCAGATGACACGATTTAACTTTTTTTTGTTGGTTTACGTAAATGTTACTGAAGAGAAATAAAAAGAGACGATCTGTAGTTTTGCAGGTGGTTTTCTCTCGGCGCAAACTATTTTCAGTTAAATTAGTGACTTCCTGGATTCTCTCATGGTTTGTAGCAACTTTGTGGTGATAACGGGCTTAGGGGAAAGCTCATTTTACATCCTTCATATATTTAGATCTGTTTACAACCTTTTACTGCTCCTTTCACATTTTGTTCTGATTCAGCTTCTTTCAGCTCCTTTGAGCAGATTTTAACTTTTTTCCAGCTACTTTCAGCTAATTTCAGCTGGGATTTTTTTTTTTTTGTCGTTTTGTGCTCCTTCCAGATTCTTTCTGCTAACTACATTTTTGTGCTTCGTCTGACTTCATCCTGATAATTTCCGCTTGTAATGCTCCTTTCAGTTTATTTATGCAAGTTTCAGCTTTTGTTTGCCATTTCAGCTACAATTTACAGTAGCTATTTCATTCAAAATTATATTTTTCACTTAATTCCACATTTTTTGCACTCATTTCAACTTTTTTCAGTCTAAGTCAGTAAAAATCTGCTCTCTTGTGGCAATTTAAGCTTCTTTATGTACTTTTAGCTACTTTTCAGCTGCTTTTTGCTAGTTGAAGCATTTTTCAGACAATTTCTACTTTTTTGTGCCCATTACTGCTTATTTTAGCCTAATTGGGCAAACGAGTCTTCTTTCTACTTTCTTCTGCTAATTTAAGCTGGTTGACATTTCCAGCAACCTTTTTAGCATTTTTCAGCTAATTTCAGCTGTTTTCAGCTAATTTACTAATTTTTGTGCTCAGTTTTGCTTATTTAAACCTAATTCAACAAATTCTTTCTGCGTTCTTCTGCTAAATTCGGCATGTCCTTCCATTTCAGCTTTATTTCAGAATGTTTTTAGCTAATTTCAGCTGTTTTTTTGCAAGTTCTTCTGCAATAAGCATTCACACTGCATTTTTGCAGGAAATGCAATTCCTCTAGTTTACCCTATTTGTTACCATAGTACTTAATAATAATATTTGTCTGCTCATGGTTTAGAGTTGTATGAATTACTCCTAAGGTGGAGCTTGCTTGAGATAGAGATGCTTCAAGAAGTACGTTACACGAATGTCCTTAATTAATCTGAACTTTTTCTCAGGAAGAAGAGTGTCCCGGTTGCACAGATGGTACCTTTAAAGGTACACGGTACTTCACCTGCCAACCCAAAAAGGCCCTGTTTGTGAAGCTCAAGTGCTGCCGGCCTGACTCTCGGTTCCCCTCCCTGCACCATTCCTCCAACCCCATTGAGCGCTGCAACTCCATCGGTGAGTCAGAATGAGGCGAGTGAGTGAACATATAGTTTGTGGAAGTTGTTTTGTTTACCGTTTGAGTTGTATTATCTTTTTTTGGAGCATTTGGAGGGTACCTGAGTGAGGTTGTGCATGAGAACACGCCACCACGGACAGAAAACGATGGTCTGGATGTCATGGTGGGGAAAAAGAAAGGCATTCAGGGTCACTATAATTCCTGCTACCTGGATTCAACCCTTTTCTGGTAAGTTGTCTTAAATAAAAATTCCAAGCTGTTGTAAATTCATATTTGTAGACGTGGCTCATATCGTTTAACCGTAGAACGTCTCTTGGTTTATGGCGCTCTTCTTGACGTAAACTCATTGGTTTTGTTCTGCAGTCTTTTCTCCTTCAGTTCTGTTCTGGACACCGTTCTGCTGAGGCCACGATCGAAAACCGATGTAGAGTATTACAGGGAGACTCAGGAGCTGCTACGCACAGAAATAGTCAACCCACTGCGCATGTGAGTCACGCATCAGCGCTACAGCTGCCTGGCACTCACTCAGCACTGTCATCACCTGCGTAAGCTGTTTGTTAAGGTGCTGAAGCACTTTACATAAAAATAGTAAGTTAAAACAACTCAAAGTAGTTCAAGATATTTTAGTCTCTTCTATTAAACTCAAATCAGACGTGGGTGAAATTTTGTTTTGCAAAACGTGTTAATTAAAGGCTTAGTTTAGCTTGAAAGCTTATCACCCACTACGAGTTTTAAATGAATATTTTCTCTAGAGAAGTGATGGAGTTTAAGCCTTTTTGGTCAAATCTTAATAATGTCGTTATGATCAGTCGGTCATGATACTGTGAGATCTCATACAATCTTTTAGCTCTTGAACTGTAAGTTAGGAATGACGCTCAGCTACTGCGTCACCAAATTTTAGCCCAATATCTGTAAAACTGACTGAGTGCTACTCATCTTCGCTCTTTAATGTAAATTTGATGTGGCAGCCATCTTGAATCGCTTTGACTCTTCAAGGGAACCAGTTGTAGATGTGCGTACACTTGCTTTCTGAGAGTTTCTTTAAAAATTGTCTAGTGGTTCATGAGATATTTTGCTTACAGCTCCCACAGCTAATGCCAAAGTTTTAAACGAACATCAGACAAGGTATGTTGGTGCTCAGAATACATATGGGGATGACTCTCAGCTCACCACTCTCACCACACCAGTCGTTTAGGTTAATATCTGTAGAATTGAATGGGGGCGGGGGGGGTCATCTTCCTGCTTGCTAAAGTTGATTTGACGTGGTGGCCATCTTGAACTGAGTTGGCTTTAAATGTTAATCAGTTGAAGGTATATTTCCAATGATTAGCTTTTAACAGTGAAAAGTAAAATCTCTCTGATCCATGAGGTATTTTGGTAAGATGACAGACAAACACATACAGTCAGTCAGTTACATGATCGCCCACCTTTTAGCGTCAGGCGATAATTCACATGGAGGCAGCTTGTAACGTCCTCTGTCTTTGCCCCTCAGACATGGGTACGTTTGTGCCACCAAAGTGATGAAGCTCAGGAGGATCCTTGAAAAAGTGGAAGCCGCCTCTGGGTTTACCTCTGAAGAAAAAGGTTCAGTTTGTTTAGTAACACGAGTTTAATCCCACATACTGGGGATGGTTTTGTTTTATTGGGGGGTACTGACTGGGCCATATCCCAGTTAGAAAAAGTGAATTTCCTTTTTACTTTTCTAGCAATAATTAGAAAAACAAGTGTGAACATGTCGTTTTTGTAAAACATGATGTTGATTTTTATATTAGTTCTTTCATACACTTAGTTTAAGTAACAGATGTGAACATTAATACTTTTCTTGCAGATCCTGAGGAGTTTCTTAATATCCTCTTTCATCACATACTGAGAGTGGACCCGTTGCTCAAGCTAAGGTAAGAACAGCTGTACGTGCAGGAGTTTTATCCTGGTGTTGTAAATGTTTGAACGTGCTTAAAGTGCTTGGGGGAAAAAAGCTGTTATTTGAAATTGATTCAAGTTTTGCTTTAAGAAATTCCAGTTTCAGCTTTTAATAAAAAAAAAAAAACTTCCGCTCTTCATTGCCTCTTTAGTTCAATCTGTAGTTTAAAATTATATAATTTTAAAGTAAAATTCAAGGAACTAATAAACTACTTTTTTTTTTTAAGTTGGAACTTTTATTTTAAAATAATTCAAATTACCATATTTTCCGCATCAGTCGCATCAGCCTAAAAATGTCTAATGAAATGAGAAAAAAACATAAATAAGTCACTTTGCCATATACGGCGGATCTATTATGCGTCACCGCTGACAACTTGGAAATGTGGGCCGGTCTTGTGCCAAAAATCGATTGGCTGCAAAATGGCGGCCGCAGGAGTGTGCACGGGAGGACTTTAACAAGAATTTAACAAGATAACCACCTAAAAGCAATTATTTGTTTGCTCGACATTATAGCAAAGGTGTGTCTCAGTCTAACTTTTACTTAATAAATGCGCTTCAATGGTCAAATCAGCTGCATTTCACTGGACAGCGCAGCGAAATGAAGCTAATTTGACTGTTGCTCCAGGCATGATCCCAGAGCTGCACGTAGGTGGCTTCTGTGGCAAGCTGATTGTGTCATTAATAGCCACTTTTACCTATTACTTAACACAACGGCATGCCATACTATTTGAGTGCCATCTAGTGGCTGAAAATAGTAGTGTTCAATATTTTCAGTCGGAATGAATGGAAACAATCATATCTCAGCCAAAAATTGGTTTATAAATATGGGAAAAAACATAAATAAGTCCCTTCGGTGTATAAGTCGCAGGGCATGCAAAGTATGCAAAAGACTGCGACTTATAGGCCAAAATAACGGTAATGTGCCCAAAGATGGTTTGTTTCATAATTATCAGATTGCACATTTTAGAGCTTTTTTTGTGTTCTGACTTTTCATTTCTCACCTTTTAATATTATAATGCATCAAAGTTCATGCTCCATAATCCAGGTAAAAAAAAAAAAAAATCCAACAAAGTTTAGTCAGGTCCTCTGGACGGTTTCTTTTTTTGTTGAGATAGATGTGTCATCCTTCATCCAAAGGACTTCATCAGTCCGAGGAGCCCCAACAAACTCAGTCCCACAAGCAGCACACTCACATTGTGGACCAACCAGTTTGCTGGTGATAAGATGGTTTCTGGGGCCTGTTCTCTGTCAACGGGGTTTGTCAGCTTTTTTTATGGTTCCTCAGACTGTTGAAGTCCCTTGGTTGAAGGCCGAAACGTCTCAACAAAGAAAGAAACCGTCCAGAGGACCTGAATGAACATTGTTGGATTATAATGCATCATTTTGTCTTTCTAAAGTAATTTAACAACTGATTTTATGTAACAAGGAAGTGAGTAGAAATGATCCATTTAAGAACGTAGGGTTTATCAGCATGGTAAGGTTCTGGAACAGATTTAAAGCTGAAAATTATCTGAATTTAATTTTGTATTAAGAACCCTGAGATGAGTCAACCAAGGTAAAAAACACTTTTTTTAAGGTTTTTGAAAAAGTTGAATAGACATATTGAAAACCCCCTAATCACTTTGCATAACACGGAACTGTAAAAGTACCGTCAAGTCATTAGAAAACTAAGTTTTGTAATCACAGATGTCATCCGAAGCAAATCTGAAACGTGTATATATGTGGGACAGCTGTCCAAGTGTTGGACTTTTTCTGCTCACATTAAGAAACTTATAGCTGGAGTTGTATTTAGACGTTTACTGTTCAGATGGTTCACAGATCAGTGTGTGATTTCAAAAGCCATGGCAGATCTGTAATTATTTGTTATCAGAGACAGGAACAGAAACATCAGAAGTATACAGTATATTTTTTTTATCACAATTTTAATCGTGCTGTTTTAAATGTAAAGTGGAGTTGTCACATCTTTAGGAACAAGTCCCAAATGCAGTCAGTTCTTATTTATAGTTCTTAGAAAAGTAGTTTTAGCATAAATCCACCATAAAAATCCTCCTCTCACCTGTTGAAGCTGCACTGTACAAATGGTGATCACGGTAAATCCAGTTGCACTTTGTCCTTTAAGTTCTCAATCAAAAAGTGCTTTCAGCATCTGTAGAGACTAGTTCAAAGTTGTGTTTGTTTTAATTTATTTTACCATCTGAGGAGCTGATCTTTAGATATTCTTTACCTTTTTTTTAGTCATAGTCTCTGCAGCCTAAGTGTTCCATGAGAAGTGAAAGCTTTTTAATGCTGCAAAAGACATTTTCTACTCGGTGTGGGCTTCAAGTGTTGTGTAATTCTGGACATTCCTAAACTGTAACAGTGACTTCATCCTCCTTTATTTTTATAAACCCAAAAGAAAAAAAGAGCTTGAGATGAAGAGAACCTGACAGATGGTTGAAAAATGCAAGCAGTGAACAAGAGGAACAAATAACTTTTTTTTTTTCTTTTCTCTGTGTTATTCAGGGTAGGACCGTACAAACTTCCCTTTTTTATTTAAAGATTTGATAAAAACTGTGTGACTCAACATGAATTTCTGCTCACCACTTCATCGGCTTTCAATAACTGCTCACTGCTCCACCGGGGGTTGGATGGGTTAAATGCAGAGAGCCAATTTCGCCATTGTATGGGAACATACAACGATGACAACACATAACACATTAATTAATTAATTAACATATTCTGAGAAAGAAAAGGCAATGATTGATGAATTATTTAATTTGTTTAAAGTGTAGTTTGTAGAATCAGCAGTTTGTAAATTATCTTTGCTTATAGAGATAATAAATGTGTAAACAAACTTTAGAATATGAATGAACAAGTACTTGTAAAAAATATATATTTTTTATTTCCAGGTCAGCGGGTCAGAAGGTCCAGGACTGTTACTTTTACCAGATCTTCATGGACAAGAAGGATAAGGTTGGGGTCCCGACCATCCAGCAGCTTCTGGAATGGTCTTTCATTACCAGCGACCTCAAGTTTGCTGAGGTAAGTAGTTGTTTTTTTTGTTTCTTTGCATTTGTTTGATACCATTTATGAGATGAACTCAGCTGTAGAGCTGTCATTTTTGGCCCGAACCCCCAGCCTGAATTTCAGACTGGGTTGGGCCAAAAATATGTGCTTGATGGGCGGGCCGGGTCGGGCTTTTGATGCAGTTTTAATTGCGCTTGTGGCCCCACCCGCCCTTTGCTCTTATCACACATCTGAGCATTTGCAATGAACCCACAACAAGCGACATCATGAAGCTTGAAAGTATTAAACAAAAGCTACAAACAAAGCTATCACAGTGAAACCTGCTGATGTGTCAGGTCAGGTCAGGTGCACGCTCAGGTCCGAACGCCCCGTTGAAAGAGGTAAAAAAACCAAAAGTTGCGTTACGCTTCAAATGGACAACCGGATCATCGGCCGCGTGTGTCCGCTGACCGGCCGGTTGAAAGAGGTAAAAAAAGTTGCATTAAGTTTCAGATGGACAACCGGATCAACGGCCCTGTGTGTCCGCTGACGGGCCGGTTGAAAGAGGTTAAAAAAAGTTGCGTTAAGCCTCAGATGGATTGCCGGATCATCGGCCGTGCGCATCCCGCTCCGCACTATGCTTTCATCTGCGGTGAAGGAAGTTGCAGCATCTGAAGCTACAAAAATCAAAGTGAGCAGCGCGTTCAATTAAAATTGCCTTGTTCTATATTTTTTCCAGATAATTTTGCTCTAAAAATATTTTTGCTCGTCTGTCTAATCTTCATTTTTTATCTTTAGAGTTGATTATTTAGGATATTCATTTTGTAAGTTAAAATCCATTTAGTGAAACAAGAAATCTTATAAATTCCTTTCTTTGAATTGCATTTTAAAAATATCATGTCAAACTGATTTGCTTATAAAAGCAATAAAAGCTTAATTTTAAAAAAAGTGATGTTTTTTTTCAGGTTCGGGCCTCTAATTACAGTTAAATGATCGGATTGAGTCGAATTTTTTAGGCCCGAATGCAACTCTACTCAGCTGATGTTCATCATTTCTTCCTGTCTTTGTTTGTCTCCCTCTCCAAGGCTCCCTCCTGTCTTATCATCCAGATGCCCCGCTTTGGCAAAGACTTCAAAATGTTCAACAAGATTTTTCCCTCCTTGGAGTTAGACATCACAGACCTCCTTGAAGACAGTGAGTCGGAGCTAATATATTTATTTTGTTCACTTTGTTCACACCTGTGTGACATTTTGTAATAAAGGTTGAGTTGTCAGCTGAGAAGGCAACATTTTTTTCTTTAAGAACACCGATGTGTCTGCAGAAATGGACAAAGCTTTGTCTTTTTTATCTTCCAGCTCCAAGGGAATGTCGTATCTGCGGAGGCCTGGCTCTGTACGAGTGCAGAGACTGTTACGAGGACGGGGATATCACGGCCGGAAAAATTAAACAGTTCTGTGAAAAGTGCAACACACAGGTGAACAATAAGCGTTACATTATAATAATTTCATGAACATTACTGAAACATCAGTTCGAGACGTTGTAAGACTCGTCCACAAGGTGGCGCCAAATCCAAAGGAATCACATTCGGTTTGTAACCGAAGACAAGTTTCTGCTGCACCCTAACATGGCTGTATTTTTATTTATTTGAGTTAGAACTTAATATGAAAAATGCTTTTATTTTGTGTTATTTATAATCTGTATATTCCATTAAAAACATATTTAGATTTTTTTTAAATTTTATTTAACAAACCACAGTGACAAATGGTGTATCTGATAATACTGATTTAGGTTCATCTCCACCCGAAGAGGAAAACCCATCGACACAGCAAACTGTCCGTCCCAAAGGAGCTCCAGGAAGGTATGGGACGTCAAGGCTCTTTTCCCCGCCAGAGGATGGAGCTGTTCGCTGTGCTCTGCATAGAAACCAGTCACTATGTGGCCTTCGTCAAGTACGGCAGCGCAGATTCTGCCTGGCTCTTCTTCGACAGCATGGCTGATCGTGATGGTGGGTGTCACTGACGTGATCTCTTCAATATGTCTGAAAATATGTCTTATTGCTTTAAAACTACTTAAAAAAATGTAACTGTTAAAATGCTTAAAATAACATTTTTCTTATGTTTTGCTGTACTCCGTGTACTGATGCTTCTGGTGTTTTTTGCAGGAGGGCAAAATGGTTTCAACATACCACAGGTGTCTCCCTGTCCAGAGGTGGAGGCCTACCTGAAAATGACTCCAGAGGAGCTGCACACCCTAGACCCCAAAAGCATCCAGGGACAGGCGAGACGCCTGCTCTGCGACGCTTATATGTGCATGTATCAGAGCCCAACCATGAGCCTGTACAAGTAGAGCTCTCTGCCCAAACCCAGCTGCCTCTCCTCAGCTCCTCTGCATCTCCATCTCCACTCCCTGAGGACAGCAGATTCCCTGAAAGACCAAACATTTTAAAGTATGAACTAACCGAAGAGGAGCTGTCTGCCAGCAGGGGTGCCGTCCTGAGTAATCGTCTCCACCTCTCTCCTCAGTGCCAGCCTTGTTGTTTGGTGGTTAGAGATGGAAGAGAATGGGAGAAGCCTATTTGCACTGTGTAATAGTCAAAGTGTTGTGTTCTTCACGTAGTCCTATGTAGCTTTCCTGTCTCACAGCTGAGCATCGGCAGTGGTTAACGAAGCAAAGGTAGGCTTTATGTTGATTCACTCCCTGCTCAGGAAGGAAGAAGATGATGACGGAGCAGGAGGCCACGTTGCGTTATGGTGGCTGGCAGAATATGTGCAGCAAAAACAAAACAAGCTCATGGGAGGGCCTTGATCACCTCGTTTACCTTAAGAAAAGAGGAGTCGTGCTATTCTTAATCACTGTAAAAGATGGGAGCTTTTCATAGTGCACATTAAAGCAACACAGGGTGGAAAACCTCATCTATCCTGTTTGTGCTGTTCAAAAACCTGTGAATTTGCTTAGTGGTGTAGATTTCTCCAGTTAACATCAGCAGTATAAATAACCAGGTGTGCATTTAGATTCTTCTCTTAGCGTAGTTCCTCCTAACGCTGTGTGAAACATCTCTACAGTGTCTGTTTGCAGAACAAGATGTAGCCATTGTAAAAGTTTTGCCACACACTCGCTCAAACAATGCTGCAATCAGAAAACTTTTTTTTTTTTTAACTCTTCTGTTTGAAGACACAGTGAGAGCTAATTTGTTGGTTGGGAGACATCGGAGTTTTGTTTCAGAATACAGATTTACTCCTGCGGGGACTGGTCAGCATTGCTAATGCAGAGTAGGTGGCAGATAAATGCATAAGAGGAGACTTGTACAATTGTTGGAGCTGCTCGTCGCAGAGCTCCACGCGCTCATCGACTCGGTGAGGTGAAAAACCGGACAAGCCGGGCTCTTTTTCTTTGAGTGCGCCATGTGAAGAAAATGCAGTGTACGTCTAAATTATGTTTTGTGTTTACAAAGCCTTTCCCCTGCCTCTTCGGGCAGGTCTGATTTATTTTTATAAAGATGCAAGTCTCGACTCTCGCTGCCTTTTGTGAAAATGTGTTATATTTCCAGACTTGCACCTGATAACACCGCCGTCATAATCCAACCTTATTTATTACGCTCTGATCACAACAAGAACTCCTCTGAAGTCAAATACAAACATGGAACAGGGTTGACAATGTAATATTTGGGTACTACCTGTCTGCTTTCTCTGTGTATTTAAGTGAGTTCTTGTACTTCATGTTGTCTTATACCAACTACTGATTATTACATTACTTACACTGATAAGGTGACAAAAGACTGATAACAAAGAGGCACCAGAGTGCATCAAATATGTGTTTTAACTAGATTTAAAGAAAACTGGTTTCTCTTTGAGTCCATTAATGTCCAGTTTCACAAAATGGAAGTGAACCAATCCAGAGTGGTTTTCACATAAAGCAACAAATTGGTTAAAAGCAGCAAATACAGATGTTGACATCAGCATTAGATATGTATACAAGCATATTTAAATATTTTCCTAATCCTAATTGCGTTTTAAAGCTAGATTTAATAGTGAGATGAAAAAGGTGTTTTTAAACGACTGATCCAGTTTGCTCTGTGGTCGTTCCCACTGTCGCAGGGATTCTGACGGAGGGACTTCCTGTATGAACTGCACTGCTGGAGCTCGTCACTGACCAGTTCCTCGTTCACTTTGACACAAGTCTCAGAAAACAGGATGGGACTGTGTTTGTTTGTTTCTGTTGCATCTGTACAGTGTGGACATGTGTAACAGGTGATGATAACTTAATGTCTGTGATGTTTCCTGTAAATGTTAACAAAATAAAGCTCATTTTGACAGGTTCCCTGCGTGTGGCGCGTACTTTGAACAACTTCTGCATCATGCACGCTGGAAGTTTTTATGTTTTGAATGCAATGTAAGTGAGAATGAAGGTTTTGGTCTGTGGATGCGTTAATGTAGGGAAGAGATTTTAATTTTTTAGTGTTGTTTTTTTTAATTTCCCACAGATGATTCAAAGTTTCAGCAGCTTGCTCTGCTTTGCAGGTTTGAGCCCCAATTTTTCCACTTTCCATGTCAGATTGGTCCTGGGTTCAAGGTGTTTTTACTTGTAATTAAATTTGGATAAATAAATTTGCTAAATATCCAAGATATGTTCTCTCAGCAACTTTGAAATGTTAGTCACAGGACTTGAAAAATTTCTCTTGGTAAAAAAAAAATTGTTTTTTCATTGAACATATAGAACAGTAATATTTTAGTAATTTAGTATTTGTTTTTTTTTTTTATGTAATATTTTTTGGAGGGGTTGCTCCCCTTTTTTCAATTGCCAAAGCAAGTTACCTCACACGATAGCTTTGGCAACTGTTTTTGTTAGATGTCTGTTCTGACCCAACTTCGGCTCAGATCTGCAGCTGCAGGTTTCCAAAGCCATGGCGCTGACCACCGAGCTACCGCATAAAAGACAATGATCACTTTAAATTGTTTTAACATAACTTAAATATGTACTTGGTGTGGTAGTTACTGGTTTGAGCTATTTCATCTTTGAAGGTTTTTAGCTGTACTAAAGTTTGTGCTCAATAATCTAGGTAAAAATCCAACAGTGCTCAGTCAGGTCATCTGGATGGTTTTTTTTTTTTTTTTTGATTTGCTGAGATGTTTCGTCCTTTATCAAAGGGACTTATTCAGTATGAGGTGTCACTAACAAATGGATTCCCACAAACAGCATACTCATAGTGGGGGAAAAAAAAAACAGTTTGCTGGTGATAAGATGGACTCCCTGGCCCGCCCTCTTCCCCGTCGACTCCTCTGAGGCAGCTTGACCTGACCGAATGTTGGATTTTTACCTGGATTATTGAGCATGAACTTTGGTGTTTTGAATGTCTCAGAGGAGTCGACAAGGGAGAGGGCGGCCCCAGAGGCCATCTTATCACCAGCAAACTGTTTTTTCCCACTATGGGAGTTTGCCGTTTGTGGGACTAAGTTTGTTCGTAGCTCCTCAGATTGAAGAAGTCCTTTGGATGACGGATGAAACGTCTCATCAAAAAAAAAATGAAACAGTTCTGATGACGTGACTGAACGTTGTTGGGTTTTTAGATGCATTTTTCATATAGTCTTTGTAACGTATTTAGTAAAAATCGAGCAAAAACTACAGGAGAACTTAAATTGAACAACTTGTGCTCAAACATACCAGCTGTGTTTGTGTTAAACCAAAAAAAAAAATCAGTTTATAAAAATGCTTCAATTTGTTTGTACAATGTGTTTTTCATCGCTTCAGATTTTTACTTACCGACTGATGGGATTACTATGATCGAGCCTAATTTAGGCCCGCGCATGGAGATCATCCACTGAGCTGTAAACATGAGAACAATATGATTACAAGCTGGTGTGTGTGCTGGAGGATGAGCAAGATTAGTTATTGTCTGTTTGGACCACTTGTGCGGTTTTAGTTGCCTCCCTGCCCTGCATGTTCAGATTAAATCTTCATCTTGTGACCCAATTCCCCAGACAGGCTCTGACAAAATGATACCCAGGGATAAATCAGCATGTATTAAAACATGCACCCGCCCCCTCCACACGCACGCACGCACACACACACACACACACACACACACACACACATTGGGGCCCTGTTCAACACCTTACCCTGTTCAGTTTGTACTCAAACTTGAAACCAGCTCAGCAACCTGAGTTCAGAAGTGCCAGATAAGTATTTGTCAACAGAGCAGCTGGTGCACAATGCCCTCTTGTAGCTTTATGCCACAGCATATGCCAGCCGCTCGTAGTGTGCGGTAATTTAGCCGGGGCTGGTTTCTGCGGGAACAGATGGGCTCGAGTATTGTTATTCTCGCTCCAGCTCAGGGTCCCTGGGGGGAATCACTAAATAAAATCAAAGCAGATGGACCTCTCTGGGCAAGGCTGTGTTTATGATAAACAGCCAGTACAACCAGTACAACCGGTGTCCACCTAACAGCTCAACCCCCCCCACCCCCCACCGTCTTGGAGCAAACGGCACTGCTGCGGTCTGACCTCACCTGCACCGGTCCTCACCCAAACAACAGCCCAAACCCAAACAAATCCAGGCCTTAGGAAGGAAACGCATCATGGTTCAGTAATTTCACGAGCACCACAACAAGTCCGTCTTGACCTTAAACTGTAAAATTCTCTCAAAACAGAAACTGGTATTTTGGTGCAGATTTCGAAGAGGACTGTTTTGTTCTCGTCTAACCTTGCTGCCATTTCATCGCTGTGCTTTCCGCTTCCACGCCACTGGGCGCAGGCCTTGGCGGCAACACGTTCATAGCAAACACGTCTCATAAAGGCAACCTGGCGTTCCCCGTTGTTCCACAGTGCATGGGAATGTGGGGCAGTTTGCACTTAGCATTGAACTCCCAATCTGCTTTCATTCCCATGGGAAAAGACGAGCAGTAAACAAAGGAATCCTATCAGTGCAGAGGGAAGGTAAATGTTTAAGGCCTTTCAGACAACAGGAAAGCAGTGATTTCCGGCACTAAAGATGAAAAAGAGCACAGCTTGAACGTTTTTAAGCCAATCAGCTCTAACTCAATATACCACTTCGGTGTTGTTTTAACTCCATCGCGGTTACTGGTTTTATTTAGTGCTTTCAAAGGTCACCTTCTGATGAAGTCAAAGTAGTGTAATCAACCTAAATGTTTATTGCCAAAAGTATTAACTCTGAAGTTATTCATTCACTTTGAGCTATCTTAAAATCTTAGCTTTAGTTTGTCTTTTTTTTTTTTTTCCTCCAGGACTGAAAAGACAGTTATTTTTCACCATTATCCTCATCGGTTTCTTTTTCGCGGACACCTGCCCCTCCAAAATTACACCCAGACATTAGGCAGATCTGTCTGTTTGATTCATCAGCAGGACGGCTCAAGTGCCTGTGGCTTGTGTTTTCTGGACACAAATTTAGCATTTCATTCTCCACTCACTCCTTTTATCAGGCCCAAAACTCATTTTTAAAAGAAACATCTAATGTGTCTGTCATCCTTGGCGCTGATTACAATGAGTGTTGAAGGTTTCTACATTTTCTATATTCATAAGTCGTAAAAGTAAACGAGTCAGATATATCGTCACTGAGGAAGCCTGCTCTAATAATAAATAGGTTTCCTCGTAAATCTTTTTGAAATTGAACAAAGTAGTTGATTTCAGTAAACTGGTTTTTGATCCTCATTAAGCTGAAAAAATGGAATCAAACCAGCTCTGAAGTTTAAGTTTGACAATCTCCACGCAGACGGAAAAAATACAAGACTGCTTTTGTTGGTGATTTCTGAGAAATTGACCAACAAAAATCATTTGAACAAACGGGTGTGTAACGATTTGTCATACAGGAAATCTGGATAATGCTAGCTTTCATGAACAAGAAAAATGTTGT